ACAATATACATATCAAGCAAACCGACGGTGAAATGCAGTCTTTATAAGTTCAAGAAACAATTAAAATATCCACAAAAAAATAACAAATAAACCTAAATAAATGAAAAGTCAGTGTAATTAACCTATTTTATTATAAATCAACAAACAATAAAATGTAATAGTACACTTCAAAATACAAAAGGTGTACAATTTAAGCACTACCTCCACTATGTTTTGTAATTTTTTTGCTCGTGGAAGTGTTTCTAACTTGATTTTTATTTTGCGTTATTTTACAATAATTATTTAAAACAATATTTGTAAATTTTTTTAAACATTTACTAATTAAACTGTATGTAGAGTGGCCACATTCTCCTGAACTAATGTTCTTACAAGTCAACAATTCAGATGAAACTCGATATAATAAAATCTATTGATTTTCACATTTGGGAAATTCTTTTTCGAAATTTATTTTTTTTTTTAATAAGAACTTTAACATTTCAGATATAATATCAACAACGTACATATTGTTGGGGTATTTTTAACCCGCTAATATAATTAAGCACCTCTATCTCATTCTCAGTAATAGATTCAACGTTATTGACCCTTTTCCTGTAAGATCGTAAAACTTCCATAGTGACTTTTCGTGCGCACGCATCTTCAAAACCACGTTGGAAATTGTATCCGGCACTCCGGCAGCAAAGCAAAGGCCTGTGACAACAAACCGCTTTGACAGAATGCAACCGGCTACACATGCGTAATCTGTCGCTCATTGGTTAATTTAAACTTGGCGCTCCAAAAACCTGACTTCGCCTGCGCGATGTTGTCTCACTCTGTGTCATTGGAATTTATATAATGTCTACTCACTTTGCTTACAGGAAAAGGGTCAATTCAATTAAAACATCTTCTAAAAAATCTTTAATCTCAAATTCCCATGAGCAGTAGATTTCAGTTTGAGAAGCGATAACATTTTCAATTTACCTTCAGATTCCAGTATCTGAGTAACAGAAATGTGATGATTACCACCGCTCATCAACCTGTATTGACAGAAACGACTTTCCAAATTATCGGTTTGAAATCTACTTAATAAAACATAATCAAAATTCATATTATTAAGCAAATATTTTGCCAAATCTATTAATGTTTTATTCGTATGTACTATGACCACTTGAGTTTGTGACGAAAGTTTTCCATTTCTAGATTTTTTCCATTCCTGAAATTTCTAATAGATCCCAAAGATTTATCCACCTTACAAAATTTTCTAAAAAAATTAAGTTATCATCGTCAATTTTTTTAATAGCTTCATATCGTGGATCTCGAAAACGTGTTGCTTTAAAAGGGGGACTGCAGTTAACAATTTTCCACCAGTCTGAAATTAGCTGCAAAAAATTGATAGTTTCCTAAACAGCTACAATATTTCTCCCAAATTTAATTTTTAGCGCTACAATATTTTTCTCATCAAAAAGTTTGAAACAAAGGCCTCTCCACAGAAGTTGGAAATGGGCAATTCCACGAAAATGTCAACCTCAGCACATTGTTTTCTAAAAACTTTAAATTTTACTGGCATATATTTGCTTTTACAATACCATAAGACCCGCAATAAAAATTTCTTGTTAATGAGGAATAATAAAATTGTTCAAAGAAATGATAGATATTATATCTTCTTTAAAATTGGTAGAATCAAAGTAAATATCTTGATTTACATACAATATAGCGCACCGTCGTAAAGAGTACACCTTTATAGACAATAATGTACAATAAATACTTATCCCAAAATCATCTTTAAAAAAATATTAAGTACACTTATTTCTTCTGATATATGTGATAATTGGTGTAAGTAACGATAAGGGACTACTTTTCATGTTATTCGGAAATATTAAAAATAATTGCAAATCAGCTTACATTATCTCTTTTTCTCGTTCTCGCTCTCTATTTTCATTATTCTTTTATTGAAATTTCCTTGCGATTATTATTAAAAATCGCATCGTTACTTACGCGAAACGGGATAATTTTCTTTGGGTGGCTTAGCTTTGAAATTAAATAATTAATCTTAACAGCCGTCAATCTACCAGTAATTTAATTTTGCTGTGTTAATCAAAATGTCTTTAACATCCACTGAAAGAGTAAGAATCCACCGACAAAAATTAAAGAGACTCAGAATACCTAAAATCAACCAACCGAAAATATCAGCAGGAATATACGGCAAACATAAGCTGCACAAAGAAAAAAGACATTGCGCTAAAAAAAGTTAAGATACCATGAAAATAAAAGCAGAAAAGCGAGAAAAGCTAAAATAAAAACAAACAAATGGAAATTTCAAATGATGGTAATGTCATCAAGTAAATAAATTGTAAATTCGGTAAGTTTGAATATTTTTTCTTTTAGCACTTAATCCTTTTACTTACTTTAACATTACATACATTTGTTTATTTCAACTTATAGAGGTTTTCATAAAAAAATAAAATTTGCAAAATCAAATTTTATAATTTTCGAAAATGCTGGAAATGTTTCATTGTACTTCATGGGCGAGGCAAGTTCTGTCTAAACAACCTTCGACCAACTGTTTCTTTTATTTAAAACACGAATTTGCAATTTTTCTTACTTCCGTGACAGCTAATATTCACAAGTTCGCGTAAGAAACGATGACATCGTGTAAGTAACGCAATTTTTTCTCTTTTCAGACATAATCAAAATTAAACTTCTTCTCGGTTTTTGAAAACCCGAAAATTAAATTTTTTATCAATATAACTGTTTTTGTATGATAATTCACAATTCCATATAAAATGGAGAAAATTTATCAATTCCAGAAAAGGCAGGTTCAAAGGTTTCGCATAAGTAACGCAAACTTTTAATTAAATTTTGACTAAATTAAATATGACTTTAGTAATATCAAATTATTAAGAAAAAACAGAAAACAAATCTCTACGATTACGTTAAAAAATTAAAGTGTAAAAGCACTTATGAGGACAGTTTAAAATAAAAAAACTTTGCAGAGTCTCGTACGATTTTAGCATACGTAACGGTGGAATTGCCCAAATATAACTTTTCGACTTAACGATGGAGTTAATTTTACAACAGAATTTTCTTCCCCTTGATAGAGATTCTTTAAAAATGATAGTGAGACGCAACCCTTCTCTTCGGTAAATGTACAATTAACATCGCAAAAGTTTGATTTAGATCTTTTTGATTTAACCAATTATTCCGCAGATTTTTAAATAAATGAACAGGATCAAATAAATTTAAAACTGGCTGGTTTTTATAGGGATTGATGAAACTTATTTGAAGTTTGTCGTCCCCAAAAATTTCAAACATTTTTCGATTTACACTAAGATCGTCACTGCATATAGATACCACTTCGTAATTAGTGTCAGTTAGCACCTGAAGTATATTTTTTTTAACGTATGTATACAGGAAAATTTTTTATTAGAAACTGGAAAAAACCCCAAAACATCTTTATTCTTATTATTAGTAGTTGAGGCTCATGCTCACTTTGACCACAACAAAATCCTTCAATTTTGCCACCTCTGTAATTGACGTTCACATATACTTCGTCTATCAATAAATTAACCAATCTTTCGTTAGTTGGTAAATGTTTTAACTTCTCTCTCAAATAATTTATATACTCTTGTCTTTAAACCTGAATTTGTAGGTCCTAATTTTAACAATTATTTTTGCAAATATTTTGGGTGAGGAAAGGTAAAAAATTTATAATTATGTAAAATACAACCTTGCAGCCCATATTAAAGTGTCCGATGAATATCTTATTTGTTTCGCTGTCACTAATTGTAACTGTTCTGGGTTCTTCCTCTTTGGAGGTAAATTTGTTGACATATAGGACGGTTGATTCGGAAATATGGTTGGATAGGCATCCTGTGTCAATTTTGATCGTTTTAAATTTCTTTTTTTTTGTATTTTAAGGACGCTTTAAAACATTAAAATAAATAACATCGTATCATATGATATATCGTTGAAAATACAAAAAAGAGCACTATTTAATGTACTAAAAAGTTAAACCCTTTTGTATTAAAAAAATAAAATTGATGTCATTTCCGACATCCCAAATTTCAATTTTTTGTAATTTAAATAACTGAGATATTTGAGTGGAACAAGTACGCTGGGACACCCGGTATATCATCATAACAGAACAGAACCCTAATACTCCTCGCTGCTGGCTACCGACAATACTTTTGTGTGCGAGAGTACGTTTGAAAAAATATAATCTATAATAAATTGTCGCAATTATTTTTTTTGTAGAAAAATTCAGAGTAGTTAGTTTTTATTTAGATTTTTATATTTTTTAAATTAATTTTGTTTTTTGTTCGAAACCAGGGCTGTAGCTGTCTTATTTTTTAGAGTACAGCATTGTGTGACGTCACTGCGGACAGAGACATCTAACGGCAGTGAAACAAAACAATACACTTGCGGAGCCACCTTAACTTCGATTGTGTATGTCTATACTTCGAAAGAATTCGACTATTAAGCATGTACAGATAATAGAATCAGCGGCGCCACAACAAAAAGAATGCATTTATGTTAAAAGAAAATGAAATTTGATCCATTTTTCTCCTTCAAACAGAGGAAAGGACTAACGAATTAATTGAGCTAATTTATAATAATCATTTTGGGTTACATTCAAAACGTAAACAAATGGTCATGTCTTGAACGTCCGCGCAATTTTTTGGACACTACTATCAAAATAGAATATTTTTCTTGCAAAATTTCAAACATTCTAAATTCTGTGGCCTGTAAAACGGCTTACATTTTCGAGAAAATAAGATGAACCGTTCTTGATTTGATCAATAGAATATTTACAAAAAAATCAAGATCAACTTGATGACTTTTTCAGTCGAACACCTGAATGTTCAATTATTTTAAATTTGAACTTCAGTGCCTACTTTACTAAAAAAACAGAGACACCAAAGCAAAATTTTATAAACTCATGAACATTTAAATTAAAGATGGAAAACGCGAATAATTCTAGGTATATCTTTAGCACTATTATTCTGTTTACGTAAAATACTCACCCCCAACATTTGAAAACACAAGTGTATTCAACAAATGTGCAGGACAATTAATAGAAATAGCATATGATGAAAATTCCGGTTCTTTCTTCCCATTTGGAATCTTATCTGCTTGAGGTGTGTCTCCTAAACTCTTCATTGCATTTGCTTTCATCGCATTAGCAAACTGGCCACGCAACATGCTCGTCAACTTATGTATCATAAACTTCTGAAACCTCTGGAAATAGTGCTCTTTCTGGAACTTTCCAGCCAAGAACTCTCCTTTAAAGTGCCACCCTGACCACATATTCATGAAGGCTACCAGTATCACTGGTAAATGTTCCATAAACTCTGGTGGCATTTTATCTCTGGCACAGTCTGAGAGCTTTAACTCATTCACTGCGTAATCTCGAAGCTCATTCTCCGTCACCGTAATTTGTCCATCTGATACAAAAGCGTTGAATATCTTCCACGCTAATGAATTCTGATCAGTGGGCACCGCAGGTACCGGAGAGGCTTTAACTTTGTTCATTTTGTGCTAAAATGAGCATATTGATTTTATTAGTGAGGTTAAAGACTTATTTTTTATAATTCCAAACTTACTTGTGTGAAACCACAAAGTTTTAACTACTTCACTAACTAATATAACTAAGTAAGTTTTCTTTAATAATACGGTAACAAAAAACTATTTGTTTAGCATTGTTTACACAAAACTTTGGACAATACAAAAACTGTTTAGGTTTACAGTTTACAGCATGTTTACAGGTTGTTTTTACTGACAGCAATTGCTACCAACAAGAAAAAATATACATGTGTGAAGTTGGCATTTATTTTATTACTTACTTTTTAATAATAATTTATCATTATTTGTAACATTACATCATTATTGCAACATACCATCTGTACAAAATTCAACAAAATGAAATAGATAGAATATTAGCGAAAAATAGGCGTGCCTAGTTATAACTTATAATTAAAATAATATTTCAAATTTTGAATCAGGTGAAGTATGAACTTAGCTAGGGTAACGTCGGTAATGTCATTTCCATATGTCAATTTACAAACACAACCTAACCTAAAATAAACGTCACGTGTAGTGATTTGCACCGGGTGCTGCTATTTTTCTCTCAAATATTTCAAAAATGGAAAGTGATACAAGTGAAAATTACGAAGATTTCTACACAGAAGAAGATGCACAAAAGCACGAAAAATTAGTAGACAAAGTTCTTCGTTTGAATAAGACTCAACACATTAGAAAACCATCTCGTACAGAGCCCACGTTGCAAATATCTGAATTCAACTTAGTTAAGTCCAGTGGCGGTGATAAAGGTTCTGTTGAGATAAACGACCTGACCAAGTCTTTGCGAAACCGGAAAAGTCGACTCCGAATAAGCGAAAATGTTAAAAGAGCCCATAAGGCTTCACACACCCTTCCCAAGCCCTTGGAAAAACCCCAGGCAAACAAAATTCGCAGAACGGTGGCTTATGAGAAAACACGGTTAGAGTTGGATAGATGGGAAGCGACTGTGACTGCAAACCGAGTTTCTACTAATTTATCGTTCCCTTTGAACGATGACGTCAAGATGGACCAGAAAGAGTCTGAAAATTTTGCAAGTATGTGGCGGGTGAAGTCGAAACTGGCAGAGGAATTGGAAAAACATGAGCCTACAGTTGAGGAGTATCATATTAGTTTAGAACAAGAGGAGTTTCCTTTAACAATGAAAGAAATGTTGGCTAGGCGAAAGGAAGCGGCGAAGTTGAGGGCGTATCAGGGGTATAAGGAGGCTAAGGCTCGGAGACAGAATAAAATTAAGAGTAAGAAGTATCACAGGATACAGAAGCGGGAGAAAATCAAAAAGAAATTAAAGGAGTTTGAGCAGCTGCAGAAAACTAATCCAGAAGAGGCACTCAAAAAATTAGAAGAAATTGAGAAATCGAGAATCGAGGAGAGGTTTAGTTTAAGACATAAAAGTACGGGGAAGTGGGCAAGAAATCAACAGATTAGAGCTAAATATGACAAAGAGGTAAGATATATTTTGAGTTTTAATAATTATAATAAACAATTTAATAAATTCTGTAAATGTGTAAAAGACAGACAAGCAATTCTAAATGAGATAAAAGTCCTATATTATTTTACAAATTTTATGTTGGGTTTGCCTAGCAAAAATTTCAGATGACGTCATCAAATTGTTGGTGTGGATGATCAAACAAATTTTAGTTAGACAGACGAAAACAACAGAACTATTTTTTGTACTCTAATAGCTTACGCTAGAAAAATAAAAATATTACTGTCTCGAAAAGTAGCAGTTGCAATTAATTTTTATTATTGTTATTATTTTAGAGTCGACAAAATCTGGCCCAACAGTTGACACTAAGCCGAGACCTGACCCAGAAGTCAAAAACCAATGGAAGTTCGTCAGAAGAAGAAGATGAAGACGTTGAAAAAGCCCCAATGGGGATTGATGAAACTAATCCATGGGTAAATGGTGTCAAACCTGGAAAAGAAGTTGCCGATTTTATTAGCGGATATCGAAAATACTGGCTGGAACAAAATAAGACAGCGCAAAAATCGGATGCAGAAAAAACTGAAGATGTGTTAGAAAATTCCGAAAATGTAGACTCAAATTTAATTAAACTTGACCAACCAGAATCCAACAAAAATGTTTTATTGAAGAAGAAAAAGCAAAAAGTTGTAACTTCGGATTTAAGCTTTGACGTTGAAGAAACTGTTGAAAAACTAGAAAAGGACAAAAAAGTTCCACAAAAAAAGAAAAAACAAAAAAGGAATGAACAGATGAACAACTCAAAATCAACATCAGAATGGGAAGTGAGCCTTGTAGAAAATGGTGAAGCAGTTGAAGATATGTTCAAGAGAGCAGAAAATAAATTAAAGAAGAAAATGTTAAGGAACGTAAAACAGTTAAAAAAGAAGTTGGTTCCAAAAACATTGGCGAAACTACAACGTGAGGTCGCAAAAGATAAAGTAAAGGTGGATTTGTCTTTACCCATACAGAAAAAAACTCCCCAAATTGATGAAGCACTAATTGAAAATATAGATGCAGAAATCAGAAGCAATGAAGAGTTATCAAATTTGAAAACTATTTTGTCCTCACAAACCAAACAGAAACCCTGTGATATTGATCCTGAAAAATATTTGAAAATTAACCCAACTAATTTAGCAACCGCCATACCTAATATAGTGACAAATGAAGAAGTAGATGACCAACGAGCGGTAATTTCTGAAGCTTTTGAAGACGACGATATTGTTGACGAATTCAATAAAGATAAAAGTAATGAGGCTGATAAAGATAAACCTAAAAATATTAATCTTACACTGCCTGGATGGGGTTCATGGGGAGGAACCGGCGTTAAAGTAAATAAACGAAAGAAGCGACGTTTCACGTTAAAGGCGCCTAAGAAAATCCCGAGAAAAGACGATAATAAAGGATTTTTGATCATAAATGAAAGTGCACAAAACAAAGTTAAAGAACACATGGTTTCAGAGGTTCCTTTTCCTTTCAAAACTGTCAAGGATTTTGAGGCTAGCGTAAGGGCACCAATAAGCAATACTTTCATGCCAGAAACAGCGTACAAAAAACTAATAAAACCGGCCGTTACTACAAAAATGGGAACGATAATTGAACCAATGAGCAAAGATTTGCTTTTAAATAAAAACAGTTGATTTTAAATGGAAGTTGTTAATTTAAAAAAATGTATAGTTGTACAGCAGTTGAACTAATTTCTCATCAGTAGCAAATATATTCTCTTCATGTTTTTGTTTTTTAAAATTTCCTAATTTCATGTTTCGAATTTATGTGATGTTTTAAATGATAATTCCACTTAGTTTTGTACAGGCACTCTTGACACTCACACTTTAACACTTTTTTCACGCAAATGTACCAGGTCGACGTGTTTTTTCAAAAAATAATTTGTTTTACCTTTGTATGGACACTTTTTGCATTCATAATACTTTGTTTTCTTTTCATTGAAATGTCATATATCCATGTGTTTTTTTAAAGCAGAATTAAAGGTACTTCTATAGGGGCACTTTTGACATTTATACCATTTAATATCCTGTTCGTCTATATGGTGTGTTTTTACTACATACTGGCTATACACACTTGAACTGTGTTTACTTTTATATGAGCTTTTTTTTGCATTCATACTATTTAATATCTTTTTAATCCAAATGATGCACATTTATGTGACTTTTTAAAAGAGAATTATACATAATCCTATATGAACAGTTGTTGCATTCATAGCATTTAATCTCGTGTTCATCCAAGTGATGTGTATTTGTATCCCTTTTTAAGCCGTCTGGTATTTTGTTTTCAATGGGCACTGCTAACATTCAAACCACTTAAATATTTTTTCATCTGTATGCTTTGCAAGCATGTGTTTTTATGCTCTATTTCATTTTAAACCTACGGTGGCGTTCACTAGACAAGATTTTATCCTTAGTTATGTATAAAGCGGAATTTATAGTTTTGGAACATTTTTCAATTTCTGGAGAGTTCTCAGCGAGATGAAAACTGCAGTTCCCACAGTCATAGTTTCCAAGAGCATCATATTCTTCAGAAATATCAGATAACAAAAAAAAACTGCTTGTTCAGCATTATTGTTTCCACAAAACGAGAAAACATTGGAAATTTCAAAAAACTACTGTTACAAGTTGTTACTGACAAGGAAAAATACACTTGTGTGAAGTTGGCGTTTATTTTATCAATTACTTTTTAATAATAATTTATTATTATTTGTTACATTATTAACACACCAGCTGTGTAAAATTTAACAAAATGAGATAAGCAGCATATTACAGAACAATAGAGATAACTACATAGTTGTTATTAATAAAATAATATTTTAAATTAAGTGAAGTATGAAATTAGCTAGGTAACGTCATTTGTCAATTTACAAAAACACAACCTAACCTAAAATAAACCATAAACAAACAACACGTGTAGTGATTTGCACGGGGTGCTGCTACTTTTCTCTCAAATATTTCAAAAATGGAAAGTGATACAAGTGAAAATTACGAAGATTTCTACACAGAAGAAGATGCACAAAAGCACGAAATATTAGTAGACAAAGTTCTTAGTTTGAATAAGACTCAACACATTAGAAAACCATCTCGTACAGAGCCCACGTTGCAAATATCTGAATTCAACTTAGTTAAGTCCAGTGGCGGTGATAAAGGTTCTGTTAAGATAAACGACCTCACCAAGTCTTTGCGAAACCGGAAAAGTCGACTCCGAATAAGCGAAAATGTTAAAAGGGCCCATAAGGCTTCACACACCCTTCCCAGGCCCTTGGAAAAACCGCAGGCAAACAAAATTCGCAGAACGGTGGCTTATGAGAAAACACGGTTAGAGTTGGACAGGTGGGAAGCGACTGTGACTGCAAACCGAGTTTCTACAAATTTATCTTTCCCTTTGAACGATGACGTTAAGATGGACCAAAAAGAGTCTGAAAATTCTGCAAGTATGTGGCGGGTGAAGTCGAAACTGACAGAGGAATTGGAAAAACATGAGCCTACAGTTGAGGAATATCATATTAATTTAGAACAAGAGAAGTTTCCTTTAACAATGAAAGAAATGTTGGCTAGGCGAAAGGAAGCGGCGAAGATGAGGGCGTATCAGGGGTATAAGGAGGCTGAGGCTCGGAGACAGAATAAAATTAAGAGTAAAAAGTATCGCAGGATACAGAAACGAGAGAAAATCAAAAAGAAATTAAAGGAATTTGAGCAGCTGCAGAAAACTAATCCAGAAGAGTCACTCAAAAAATTAGAGGAAATTGAGAAATCGAGAATCGAGGAAAGGTTTAGTTTAAGACACAAAAGTACAGGGAAGTGGGCAAGAAATCAACAGATTAGAGCTAAATATGACAAAGAGGTAAGATTGCAGAGTTTTAAGTAAATTTACATTAGGTATAAAAAACGTTTCAATAAAACACAAGTCTTATATTATTTTACAAAATTTAAATCGGATTTGTCTAGTAAAAATTTGCGATGACGTCATCAAATTGTTAGCGTGGATGACAAACAAATTTTGATTAGCGCTTAACCATAGACAGACAAAAACAGGAAAACTGTTTTTTGTATTGTTAAAGCTTATGCTAGAAAAATAAAAACACTGCTATCGCGTAAAAATAACAATTCTAATTAATTTTTATTATTATTGTTATAGAGTCGACAAAATCTGGCCCAACAGTTAACACTAAGCCGAGAACTAACTCAGAAGTCAAAAACAAATGGAAGTTCGTCAGAAGAAGAAGATGAAGACGTTGAAAAGGCCCCTAGAGGGATTGATGAAACTAATCCGTGGGTAAATGGTGTCAAACCTGGAAAAGAAGTTGCCGATTTTATTAGCGGATATCGAAAATACTGGCTGGAACAAAATAAGATAGCGCAAAAGTCGGATGCAGAGAGAACTGAAGATGGGCTAGAAAATTCCGAAAATGTAGACTCAAATTTACCTAAATTTGACCAACCAGAATGCAACAAAAGTGTTTTATTGAAAAAGAGAAAGCAGAAAGTTGTAACTTCGGATTTAAGCTTTGATGTTGAAGAAACTGTTAAGAAATTAGAAAAATACAAAAAAGTTCCACTAAAAAAGAAAAAACAAAAAACGAACCAACACCCAACTAATTTAATTATACCTAATATTGTCACAAATGAAGAAGTAGATGACCAACGAGCGGTAATTTCTGAAGCTTTTGAAGACGACGACATTGTCGAAGAATTCAATAAAGATAAGAGTAATGAGGCCGATAAAGATAAACCTAAAAATATTAATCTTACGTTGCCTGGATGGGGTTCATGGGGAGGAACCGGCATTAAAGTAAATAAACGAAAGAAGCGACGTTTCACGATGAAAGCGCCTAAGAAAATCCCGAGAAAAGACGATAATAAAAGATTTTTGATCATAAATGAAAATGCACAAAACAAAGTTAAAGAAGACATGGTTTCAGAGGTTCCTTTTCCTTTCAAAACTGTCAAGGATTTTGAGGCTAGCATAAGGGCACCAATAGGCAATACTTTCATGCCAGAAACAGCCTACAAAAAACTAATAAAACTGGCCGTTACTACGAAGATGGGAACGATTATTGAACCAATGAGCAAAGAGTTGCTTCTAAATAAAAACAGTTGATCTTAAATGGAAGTTTTTAATTTAAAAAAGTATAGTTGTACAGTAATCGAAGCAATTTCTCAACTTCATGTTTTTGTTTTAAAATTCCCTAGTTTCATGTTTCGAATTTATATGACGTTTTAAATGATAATTCCACTTGTTTTGTATAGGCACTCTTGACACTGATACACTTTAACACTTTTTTCACCCAAATGTTCCAGGTCGACGTGTTTTTTCAAAAAATAATTTGTTTTACCTTTGTATGGACACTTTTTGCATTCATAATACTTTGTTTTCTTTTCATTGAAATGTCGTATGTCCATGTGTCTTTTTAAAGCAGAATTAAACTTACTTCTATAGGGGCACTTTTGGCATTTATACCATTTAATATCCTGTTTTTCTACATGGTGTGTTTTTATCTGGCTATACACACTTGAACTGTGTTTACTTCATATGAGCATCTTCTGCATTCATACCATTTAATATCTTTTTCATCCAAATGGTGCACATTTATGTGGCTTTTTAAAAGGGAATGATACATAGTCTTACATGAACATTTGTTGCATTCATGCCATTTGATCTCATGTTCATTTAGATGGTGCACGTTTGTGTGCAGTTTTAAAGCTGATTGATGTTTAGTTTTGTAGGGACACTTTTTACATTCAAACCAATTTATAGCATTAATTATTTTTTCACTCAAATGGTGAGCATTTATGTGATATTTCAAATTGCCCTTTTGTTTAGCTTTGTAAGCACACTCTTTGCATTCATACCATTTAATCTCGTGATCATCCAAGTGGTGTGTATTTGTGTGCCTTTTTAAGGCCGTCTTGTATTTTGTTTTAAATGGGCACTGCTCACATTCGAACCACTTAATTATTTTTTCGTCTATATGCTTTGCAAGCATGTGTTTTTTTAAGCTGTATTTCCTTTTAAATCTACAGTGGCATTCACTACAAAAGATTTTGTCCTTGGTGTTATATAAAGCGGGATTTATACTTTTTGAACATTTTTTATTTTCTGGAGAGTTTTCAGCGAGATGAAAGTATGTTACAAAACTGTAGTTTTCACAGTTATAGTTTTCAAGAGCGTCATATTCCTCAAAAAGGTCTTCCCTTTTTTGTTGGTTGAGATTGTGATATTCTTTGAGATGTTTCTTAAAAATTAGTGTCAGGTCAGTTTGGAACTCACAGTCTTTGCAGTAGTAAACTTCAACGTTAGTTCTTTCGCAACTAAAAGGCACTAGTGGTAATCTGTGACGTCTATCATGGTTTACCATGAGGAAAATTGATGTTGTAAAGTACGAGCAAATTTTGTAATCATGGACATTGTGGGCAGAAAGTTTAAGTGGAGAAAACTTCTCAAAAAATTCCCAACAGTGACATTTTACGCTATCTGAATAAGTTAAATGAAGTTAAACTTTATTAGAATATTTCACGCAACGTTTAAATTTTTTCTACCTGTTTTATTTTTCTGCTGCCCAAACATAACCTCAAACTGTACAACAAAACCAGTGAGTATAGTGGTATAGATGTTAAATACATAGTCACTGACAAAACATAATAAATAAAGTACACGTTTGACGTTTGATATCAACAACAATTTCAAATCCGAATCTCATGAATGACTCGGATTTAAGGATGGGATTATCGGAAATTTCTAAATTGAAATCAGTAGAAAATGGTACGTTTCACCCCACATTTTTTTTTTTTTTTTTTTTTTTTAATTGTATAACAACATTTCGCAATTTAACTTTGAAATTGTAAAAACCAAATGCTTTGAAAACTTGCAAGCTTTTTAAGATTTATCGTAAGCATGGTAAATGGTTAATAATTTTTTTTCGTTTATGTTCCTTAAATATTATAAAATTACATACTCCATGCATGTGTATAGAATCCGTATTGAAGTTTTCCGCTGGACATCGAGATTTTTGGGAAAAAAATCAAAGTTGTGTTTTATAATTTAACTTTAAAATGGCAAAAGCGAATGTACTGAAATATTCCAAACGTTTTAGGGTTATAGGAACGATGATAAATCGTTAATCAAAATTTGTTCGGTTAAGGCCTTCCCAAAAAATCTTAAAATTGTACCCAATAAATATTCTTTAAATTTTCATATCTGATTTATAAATCCGTGTTGACTTTTTGCCCTTAGCATCCAGATTTTTGTAAAAAAAATCAACACTGTATAACAATATTTTACAATTTAATTTTGAAATTGCACAAACCGAATTCTGCGACATCCTGAAGATATTTTAAGATTGTTTTGTGTCATTTCCTCTGCGTTGAGGATACAAAATCAACCAAATTTCATTTTCTTTTAACCGCTGATGCTTATTGTAATCTGAACGTGCGAAAAGTTGAATTCGGTCGAAGTCTAAACATAAACAGTGGAAGTTAAGCATATACTGAGAAATTGAGAATGTCTATATTTTTTCCCGTTAGTTATCTGCTTTAAATATATTTGATATTTAAAGACGCGGGAGTTGCCGGGATATTAATTACGCCACTTTGTAGAGGTTAACAGTTATCACAAAACAAAAATCACGAAACCATATTTTAAAATTTCTGTCAAAATAACCTTCCAGAATTTTTTTACTAGCTTTGTTTTTCTTGATAGCGTCAGCTCAGAAACATATTTTTTGTATAAATGTTACTATGCGCAATACGCATACCTATTGTACATACAATATTTTGTCAGTATTTATTTTATCTAGTGTTAACATTATAAAAATTGTAACTACATGTGATACATACAATGGCCAATTTTATGTAGATGCACATCATAATAACGACACACTAAAAACAAAATGTAGAACATCTGTACAATAATAATAAATCAGTCATGACTGTCGCTACTACAAACTGGTTTATGTTATGCATGCATAGTGATGCTGATGTCACACAACAAAAAAAAATTAAATAAGTTTAAAAACAAAAAAATATGCACACATGATGTCTGGGTTGTGGTATTAAAATGACCCAAGCAGTAAGAAATCTAACATCAAATTTTAGACTTAATAATTAAAGAAATATTAACAATATATTTTGGTCTATCTCATAAAGATATTTTTGTAAAAACAGTTTTTTTGTGAAAAATAATAAAAAATAATAATAATAATTATAATTATAGCTTAATTAATTAAGTTGTATGCGAAATTATCCGTTAATTTATTTAATTGGTTAAAATTAACTTACCAATAATTGATAATTATTTTTCATGTATCTACAGGTGGGTGAACTAAAAGGGGACACCTCGATTAACTTTTATTTTATTTTTTAATTTTTAATTAAATTTACCTAAAGATGCACTAGTGAACAACTCATTGCAATTTGGTACACAGATAAAAGTATTTGAATTTTGCTTCTTTGCAAAATATTAAATTTGATCCCTCGTGCTATTTAAAAAAAAAATCAAGTTGGCCTTGTAGGGGTTAAAGGTTGGCTAAAGGGTCTCAGAGGGGGTATCAGAACAAAAAAAAAAAACGCGATCATGGGCAACGGAAGAAATTACAGAATTAGTTCAGCAAAAAGATCAATTGTACAAAAAAATTCTGTCTAACAGAAGAGAAGACAATTACACGAAATACAAAGAAAAAACAGAGAAGTGAGAAATAAGATAAAACGAAAAAAAATATGTTCTGGAAGAAGAAATGCAATCAAATAAATTCATTCATATATCGGTAGCTCTAGATCAACAGCAGTTTGGCAAACTATAATAACTTTCGCCGTTACGTTGCCGTTGACGTTAGGTTTTCAACCAATCACATTGCGGTTCTGTGTTGCGGTAGTGAGCAATGATGCCAACTTGAAGGAAAATCCCCTAAAGTAGGGAGGACATTTTTCTGGTTTATGGCACTAATTCCACGAAAATCAAATTTTGATAGAGATAATGAGGTCCACTAATATTTAAGACATTTAATCACCTGATCACCGAAACTCTCATATTTTAAATAGCTGCCATCATTTTCTACACTGTCGCTTTCGGTCAGCACATGCATTGTTAGATAAAGATATTTTTGTAAAAACAGTTTTTTTGTGAAAAATAATAAAAAATAATAATAATAATTATAATTATAGCTTAATTAATTAAGCTGTATGCGAAATTATCCGTTAATTTATTTAATTGGTTAAAATTAACTTACCAATAATAATTGATAATTATTTTTCATGTATGTACAGGTGGGTGAACTAAAAGGGGACACCTCGAATAACTTTTATTTTATTTTTTAATTTTTAATTAAATTTACCTAAAGATGCACTAGTGAACAACGTAATTAGAAAATTAATTTTTTTTTTTGGTTAATAAATAAAAACTTCTTGGAGGTGTCTCCTTTTAGCTGACTTATCCTATACATAAAAATACCGGGTGACTGTTTTACTGACTGATGTAAATTTTTGTGTTGAAAATTCTGAGATATTGGCAGCAATGCTAATATAGCAGTTCACAGTTGCCAATTTTGACATGAGCGCATCTAAAAACCAATGAGAAGATGGCAGCTACTGAATTGGCGCCCAAAATTTCAATTTGACCTCAAGTATGCTATAAAATTTTAAATACATTACCAACCTTACAAAAAAAATCACAAATATACAATATTCTCATATTGTATTTAAATATTTTTCGTGTATCTAATTCTTTCAAGTTTTGATGCTTGAAAGCAATTTAAAGATGTAGTTTTCAAAAATTTTATCTAAACTGGTGACCATTAAAGTTTTGTTTTTTTTTAATCGAACTACTGCATTCGCGGCCCTTGAAAAGTAGGTACCAAAACTTTAAAAATTGCAGTAAATCAGTTCTTTATCAGTTTTACAAATTAAAATGGAAACTGAACATCAAAAAATACTAAACACCGAAGTCAAGTACCATTTTAGAAAGTTAGAAGCATAATTTCTTACAAATTGATTGTCAGATAACTCATACTTATTAACAATGCTATGACGTTTTAGTTGGGATGTTCTTACACTCAAAAAACTTCATATAATACCCCTATCAAGACAAATATGATACACATGCTTTTCAATGCTTTTTAATATCCAGACAATGCTGTTGCTGATGGATAATGTGAACGAATTAGTTGCGATCTTCCTTTATCAATCTCAAGAGTTTTTCGTTTGAGCATAATTTCGCGTTCCAAATCGTTACGTGCTGTAATAAGATTGGCTTGAGATTCTTCAGCTTGTTTCAGTTGCGCTTGAAGTGCAGCAATGTTTTCTTTAATAAACTTGACTTCTTCTATAAGCCTGCAAAAGAACGTTTTTGCATTATGTAAGTATGTTATTATTACAAGCACAAACCCAAAGTGAGGTACATCACGACAGTTTTCAACTCGTGGTCGACCGAGTCTATTATCGAGTCTCGTTTGCGCTTTTTTCATTGGGATGTCCATTCTTCTAATGGCATTGCGAAGATCTATTACAAGAATTTCAACATCAGCCAAGTCTTTCAGTACCTGAAAATTTGTGAAAACGTAATTTATAAATCTCGAAAGAGTCTAATCTTGGAATTCACCTTTTTCAATTCATATTCCAATTTCTGGGTCATCTCTTCCACACATGCTACTCTCCTAGAAAGAGCTAGTTCAACTTTATCAGCTTGCGATCTCAAATCTCTGGCAGCGTTGATCAAGATTGCGTCCAACGTGGCCCTCAAAGTTTCCGACCTTTGTCTTGTAGCTTTAGCTTCCGTCAAGGTTTCTTCGGTAAAGTGTGTCCAATATTCTGGAGTAGACTGATCGTCGGGAAATATTACAGACCCTGGTTTAAACAACATCGTATTCGAACTATTGTTGAGCAAAATATTCAACGCCTCAATCTCGTGTGCCACCGTTTTGTCGCTCCAATCATATTCCAGTCTTTGCTTAGCAGTTTTGTCCTCAACAAGCTGCGCTTCAATGTCCTTCAAAGTCCTAGTGAACGTCTCTCGAATCTCTGCTGTCAAAGCTAGTTCTCTTATTAGCTCGACTTCGACTTCGTCACGCACAATCTCCGTGTCTAATCGCCCGCTTCTCCTTTCCAAGCATTCACCAGCGATGGACTCTGGCAGCTGCAGCACCTTGGATGCCTGTTTCAATCTGCGCCGCTGCTCTTCTGTTTGTGTTATTTCTTCAGACATTGCTTCTATTTCCGATTCTATTTCGCACTTCCAGCGATGGACTTCTTGTTCTCTTTGGCGTAGCTTCTTGGTGTTGTCTTCTTGCTTTTTGTCGACGTCAGCAGTGGTTTGGATCAAGCACTGGCGGCCATTCCAGTCAATACTTCAAAAAACGCATAACAAGCAAAATGAGTGTCGTAGATGTTTGAAAGTTTGCCTTACAGGTTCATTCTGTGTTGTTCTCGGGCCGACATGTCCAAAATTTCCTTGTTGTGTCTTCTCCATTCCCCTTCGCTGTACCTCGCAATCGAGTATTTGTCGACTACGGGTCGTGTTCCAGTAAGTCCAGCCATGGGGCTCCAATCAACTCTGCCGGTCGCCCATGGTCCAATTGGTCCCATTGACGTGTCTTCGTTTGCTGGGATGGCATCTTCGGGTTGGGGCAAATAACACGGAGCAGTTGCACCTGGAACGGGTCTTAGGTTATTAGGAACGGGAGGTTGGGAGACAGGATCCGGTTCAGGAGACGGTGTTGTGGGAGTCTCGACGTTTTGTACATTTTGTTCGTTTGGACACTTTTTGCAACAGGGATTGACGACGCCGGCAGACATTTCTAAGATAAAATCAAAAATAGGGGGACGTTGCTAAGGGAGTCTACGCGTGGTTTTGATTGATCAAACATTAGTGTTTTCTAGGCAACGGTGCTTTTGTTGCTATGGCAACGGACGAACTTGATTTGGGTTTTCTATAGTGCATTTTTAATTTGATAAGCTTAAAATGGAGGTTATATTACACGTAATATAACCTACAACCCTGTATATTACATGTGCTATACAGGATTGCTAAAAAAGTATGGAAGCAGTTGAATATCGCGAGAACGGTTTATCAGAACTCATTGCAATTTGGTACACAGATAAAAGTATTTGAATTTTGCTTCTTTACAAAATATTAAATTTGATCCCTCGTGCTATTAAAAAAAAAATCAAGTTGGCCTTGTAGTGGTTAAAGGTTGGCAAAAGGGTCTCAGAGGGGGTATCAGAACAAAAAAAAAAAAAAACGCGACCATGGGCAACGGAAGAAATTACAGAATTAGTTCAACAGAAGACAATTACACGAAATACAAAGAAAAAACAGAAAAGTGAGAAATAAGATAAAACGAAAAAAAAATGTTCTGGAAGAAGAAATGCAATCAAATAAATTCATTCATATATCGGTAGCTCTAGATCAACAGAAGTTTGGCAAACTATAAAAGGTCGATTTACAAACTTGTCGCTGACGTTGCTGTTCGCCGTTACGTTGCCGTTGACGTAAGGTTTTCAACCAATCACATTGCGATTCTGTGTTGCGGTAGTGAGCAGTGATGCCAACTTGAAGGAAAATCCCCTGAAGTAGGGACGACATTTTTTTGGTTTATAGCACTAATTCCACGAAAATCAAATAAAATCAAATTTTGATAGAGATAATGAGGTCCACTAATATTTAAGACATTTAATCACCTGATCACCGAAACCCTCATATTTTAAATAGCTGCCATCATTTTCTACACTGTCGCTTTCGGTCAGGACTTATGCATTGTTAGATAAAGACAGTTCTCGATGTTTAAATCAACAAGATTTATTGCTATTCGTCTCAAAAACAGATTAGGTATAACTACAAGGGCTCCAATTTTGCCTTTTTTTTTCTACTAAAAGATTACTACACAATACACATATTAATGTATAGTCATCTTTTCACAACAAGAAACTTAAAATATGTTTAAAATGGTAAATTTGTTTAGAGAAATATCTTATTTGCAATTACGCTCCGCCCCTCGGTCTGACAACGAATAAAAAATTCATGACGATTGAGATCGAGATGGATGGGTCGGGCTTCTCTTTCGGTTTTCTTTTTTAGTTAATACATTTAGTTTTCTTTGTATAACACGGTTACTTAAGAACATATTTCATATTTCTCGTAGAAAATAAGGATTTTTCAATTAAGCTCCGCCTCTCGGCTTACGACGAATAAAAAAAAATCATCAGAATTGAGATAGGGTGAGTGAGCGGGGTTTATAGTTTGCCTTTTTTTTCTTAATATACATAGCCATCTTTTCACAACAAGAAACTTAAAACATAGTTAAAATCGTACATTTTCGCCAGACTACTCGAAACCATTCTATACATACACTTGGGGTGCACAAAATCACTTCACACTATTAACCAAATTGTTACACTATTATTTATTATAATATAAATGGGTACTTCACTAAAAAAGTAGATAGTTTCAAAGACTTGGGAGGTACCTTTTGACAGCAAACACATTTGTGAGTCAGATTACAGATGTGGTCAAGAAAACGAACGACCACATATAGGTTTAAGCATAGAAACTGCAAGGATTTCTGAGATGATTGCGCTCTTAAAAAACTATTTTATTCAATAGTTAGATCTAGGATTGAATATGCGGTTCTTATGTGGTATGTGGTATCCTATTTTGAACATTTTAGAAGTTTTTAGCCTACGTGGAAAATAAAACTTATCCTTCCCGAAGTATTGACCATTTGACATTACTATCTAGGTTTCGTGGTAGTTCATTTGCCATTCGAAGAAATGTTATTTAATCATTCGTTTCTTATACCTACAATTTGCTTAATACCCAGGTTAACTGCCAAAGCTTCTAAACCAATTAAATTTTCTGGTACCACACCCAAACATACGCCAGTAAAATTTGCTTTACACAATAAATCATAAAACAAATGCTCTTCTTAGGTCTCCAATAGCATTAAACTGTCGATTTAACGAGCGTTCAAATAAAAACGACGTCAAGTTGGCTTTGGAAATGTGAACGAATCATTCACTAAGCCCTAAATTCACATTTACAAAGCCACCTTGACGTCGTTTTCATTTGAACGCTCATTATAATAGTATAACGCATAAATGTGATATTCATATTTCAACCCCTTAAGCTTATTTGTGGGTGGGCGCTGGGACACTATTACTCTCTCTGGAATACAAAAGTTTTTCAGGCAAAAACTCGAAATCTAAACCGTTTGAATTCGTCTAAAAATTATAAATCTTAACGTGCTGCAATATTTTCAAAAAATTCGGTATGAAATTCAATTTTTTTTATATTTTTAAAAATGGCGATGTTTCAAAATTCATTCTTGCATAAATCGTCTAAAAATTGTCAAAAACTTCAGGGTTATAAATTTAACGTGGTGATTCCAAAAATATAGCGTTTTTTGGGTCACAGAGCAACATTTTCGAAATATTCAGAGTAAAAGGCGAATTTTTTGAAATTTCTAAAAATTGCGATATTTCAATGGGCAATTCTGGAAAAACGGTTTGAGTTATCAAAGAAATGAGGCCGAAATTGACTTTTGCAGCCCGAAATCTACAAGAAACTAAATTTAAAATTTCGAAAATCGTCGAAAATGGGTTGAAATTTGCATGAAGTTGCAATAGAGTGAGTATCACAGTTTTTGAGTTATAAAAACATTTTAAATTTATTAACTCCCACTAATTTATTACAAGTACAACAGCACTGATAATAATTTACATAATAACGTTTTTTGGTACACTAACACATCAAAAGCTATCGCAGTACCAGACAGGACCAGCATATGCACTGAAGATTCTATCTACATTTTTAAATATTTTCGCATTCTCACTGAGGTCTAGAAGATTATTTTATATTCTTAACTTCAATAGCAAATTCTTGAGGGGCACAGAAATTAGTATTTAAATATAGAAAGACACCATTTTCTGGTCAAAGAATTTAATCTTTAATTTTCATCATTAATAAAAAGAATATCTTAAAAAGCTCAAAATCATTAAAAATTAAGCTACATTTCTTAACATATTTCCCAGTCTGAAACTATTTGACAACAGGGATCAAGTGATCAACTTTTTTAGCTAATTTTTTTTAGTTTTGGTTGTGTGTTCAATTAATATTTTTGCATGCTAATAAAATTTTATTACCGGAAGATTATTTGTGGTAACGACCTGTGGGTAGAATCACAGACAACGCAATCATTTTACTTTAAATGTTATTGACAAGTCTCCTTCCAATGTTATAAAAAATATATAATAATTAATTCCTCGAAAAGTTTAATCATGTTGATCGGGGTCGCTAGCACAAAGCACACAAATCGGTATGCTGTAATTGTACAATCTCGAACATAGATATCGTAGATGAAGATAATTTTAAATTTGAAATTTAAGTAATTTCTTTATAAAAATTCTTTTTTCAAAAAAAAATCCAAAAAAAGGCATTTATAATCCCATCTTCTCTTACAATTTCAGCCACCAAAGAGTTAGGAAAATGTCTAAAGTGGGATTTATAAACTTGCTGTTGACGTTGAAGTTTGCGTTGTTTTAAAGCTGAAAATTGTCAATTATAGACTCTGTTGCCAAGTTGCCGTTGATAGTAACTTGGATGTTCAACTTGTGCCGTATTTAAAAGGCTTGTAGAAGAAAAGTAGAGGATTTAAGTTGTTTACTACAAAAGTTTACCATTTCAGATATGTTTTACGTTTCTTGTTCTGAAAAGAAGACTAGGTACGTATGTTAAGAAAAAAGGCAAAACTTACAGGTAGGTAAGTAGGAATTGTTAAAATCTTAAATTAAATTAAAGTTACCTTGATTTCTAATTATATTTTAAGTTATTTTACGGTTCCTGTAATGTGTTTTATCCTGTTGGGATCAATAAATTTATTATTATTAAGACCCACCACTGACTCAGTAAAGATTTCAAATTCTCAACTAAGAAATTATTTGGTACTACACCTACATTGGAGATAACTAAAGGCAGAATTGAAATTTTCTGAAGATTTAGCATTCTTAATCACTGCACTGAAGAACTAGAACATTTAAAGTGAAAGAGACAAATGAAAATAACAAATTCGATAGAGCAGATCTAAGTTTGTCGTGTGTTAATTAATGCTAGTAGTTTTACATCCACAAAGTATTTCAACAACAAGAATAAATAAACGTAAAATCTGATCAAGGATCTCCCAAAAACAGAATGAACTAGTGATGTTCACTCGATACGGATTATTTTCAAAATCTGGATCTGATCCGGGTGCTACCCTATTTTCAGTTCAGAAAAAATCCTAATTTGGACCCGGAGTTTTAAAGTTATTTCTAATCTGCCTACAAACCTTAAAACCCATATTTTCATAAGAAATTTCCTTGGTCAACATTTACTCAAACGGCCGATTTTTGAGCGAATTTTAAAGAAATTTGTAAGCGTGGCGCCCATCTGAACCTAAATTTTTAGAAAAAAACATTTGTGGATACGACCTGGACAAAGGAGAGAATTGTGTAAAAAGATTTTTTCAGTATTCGACCTTTCTGGACAATAACTGGGAAAGTCTAACAGAAAAAGGTTGATTTGAAGATAAATAAAAACAAATTTGTAAATGTAAAAATGTTTTATTAATTCTGCGAATTTTATAACTTCTCGAGCGGAACCTGAAGGGGATGATTTTTTTTCCAAAAATCCGGATACATAGTGTAAAAATCAAGACGGATTCATAAACCACAAGTGTAGGAGTATTATTTTATAAAATTCAAGTAACATTTACTGTGAAAAATTGTGAGCTTTAATTGGTAATATACTCGTAATATGAGGGACATGGAATTCTGGGCAGTCTGTTCTTATCATTTCAAAAAATGTCAATGTAAATGCACCTTTAGCGTCAATATGATTGATAGTTTCGAAAAAAACTGTTAAATTAACTTTGAAGTATATCAATTGGTTCGACATGCCAGCTGTATCTATTTTTAACAAATCATGTTAATATAATTGAAACAAATTTAATAAAACTTCGACTTTGTCAGTGTCAAAATGAGAAACACGCCAAACATTAAAAGCGTGGTTATGAATAGCTAAGGTCTGGTTTAGAAATTTTGACACCTCTGCCCAGTTTTCCGTGTCCCCGATGGTACAACATATAAAATTTGACAAACCGATTCAGTAATTTCGGAGGTTGTCTGTCTAATAACAATCGACACAGACGCCTGATAAACAAATAAACGGAAACAGGAGACCTAATTTTTTCGAACTGTAGGGTTCATGAAACGTCGAGAAAACACTACTTAGGTACTTAGCTTACGTTCGAGAAGTAAAAACAATACAAACGTTTTACGACAGAAGTCTAATTCTTTCAAATTAATGAGTTTATCCCAGATAAACTTATTAATTATAATTAATTGTTTAAATAATAATTATTATTTAAATAATTAAAAACGACCATCAAGCTACCTTATTGTCAAATCTACTATAATACAACTTTGATTTTTGTGTGTTTTAGTACTGTCACTACTGTCGTGTTTGGATGTGCTCTATCATACAAAAACAAACAAATGTCTTGAATTGTTCAGATGAATTTCTTATGCGCATCTAACTGCAGCACATCTAGAGATAGCTTTATTTTAATTTCAAATAAATGACGTTCCCGATTAATGAAGACTTATCTTTTACTGATGAAGACTCATTCCATAGTGCTGATTTAACCTCATTAACTTCTCGTGTCCCTAGAGGTAAATCAAATACTGTTTTTTTATTAAATAAAGCTGGTGTTGTAGAATTACAAGATCTTGAAAATTTGGATGAATTAATTATACACAAAACAGAAGGTAAAAGCAGAAGCAACCAATAGTTCTACATACGTCTTTTATTGACCCGCATTTTCAGGTTTTTGTAAATTAATTAATAAATTTGAAATAATGGACAACCAAAATATAATATACTTAGTTGTTGAAGATTATGGGTCTAGATGTTCTACCTGTATTTCAAAAGTTTGTTGTAGACAAGAATTTCGGTATCAGCTAAAAATTTCAGATGCCGCAGGTAACGAAGTTATTCGATTTCTACACCCAGCAACCCAAAGGTGCCAATGCTGTAATGATCTTCAAGTACTTTTTGATAGACACTTCATGATATATAAAATGAAATCTATTCAACTTATAGCGAATGGAAGTGTTTTCACCTCCGGGGAATTTGATAGGAAGCATTCAACAAGAATACAATGACTACGATTTTATTCTAGCTCTCTGTGGTCCACGAGAAAATGTTATGTTGGTACTAAGAGGTTGTCAACGTATGTTTCGTTGCAAGAAGTTTCAAATAACGTTACCTGATTTGCTAACGAAAGTTGGAAAAATTGTGGATGTAACAAGATGGGGTTTTACCACCGGTTATAAGGTTACCTTTGACAAAGACCTTGGTGTAAAGCGAAAAGCTATCATATTGGGAGCCTGTTTTTTAATTGTACTTATTTGTCAATTTTTGAATAGGCAGTAATAATGATAACACCAATCATTTTACAGGACGCCATGTTTTGCAAATGAAAACCAACGTACTAATACATACAGAATGTAAAATTCGTCATATGAAAATATAAGTTATTTTGTAAATTGTGTTTTACTGTTATACCAAATATTGTTAAAACGTTTTTGTCCAAATAGCTAGGTTATTTTGTCACTCGGCCGCGATCTTGAAAATATTGAAAAATTGTAAAATCGAGAAATCCAAACATGAAAAAATAAAAAAAATAACAATTGGAAAATCTAAAATTTAAAAATCGAGAAACTGAACAATCGAATAATTAAAAAATTAAAACATCGAAAAATTGGAAAATCGAAAAATTAAAAAAAAATGGAAATTCGAAAATTTAAAAATTCCGAAAATTGAACAGTTGAAATATAAAAGAACTGAAAACTCGAGAAATCGAAAAACCAAAAATTTTAAAAACTGAAAAGTTAAAATAAAATAGAGAAATCTAAACATCAAAAAATCAGAAAATCTAAAATTTAAAAATTGAAAAACTGAAAAATCAACAAATCGAGAAATGGAAAACTCGACAATTAAAACACTTGGAAAATTGAAAAATCGGATAATTCAAAAATCGAAAAATCGAAAAGCCGAAAAGTAAAAAATCGAAAACCGAGAAATCCAAAAATCGAACATTGAAAAATCAAAAGAACGTGAAATCGAGGAGTAGAAAAGTTGAGAAGTTGGAAAGTTAAAAATGGAAAAATTGATAAATCAAGAGATTGAAAAATCAAAACATAGAAACATCCGAATCTCGATAAATCGAGATCTCAAAAAATTAAAAATTCGGAAAATTGAAGAATTAAAATATGTATAGAAGAACAAGGGAAAACTCGAGGAATCGAAAAATCTAGAATTTTAAAAATTGAAAAATTAAAATATCGAAAAGTTGAAAAATTGAGAAATCGAATATAAAACAGTCGAAAAATTGAAAAATGTTTAAAAAACGAAAAACTGAAAATCGAAAAAATTAAAAATCGAAAAATCCAGAAGTCGAAAGATCGAAAAGTCGAATAAACGAAATATTGAAAAATTCCAAAACTGAAAGAAATATCCAAAAATTGAGAAATGAAAAAACTGGAAAATTGAGAAATCGAAAAACCAAAAAAGCAAAGTCGAAAAATCGAAGAACTGAAGAACTGAAAAATAGAAACTTGGAGAAGTCCAGAAATGGGAAAATCAAAAATAGATTAATTGAGAAATCGGAAAACTGAAAATTTAGCAACGTCAAAATTTGAAAAATTGAAAAATAGTAACATTGAAGAACCGAAAAACCAAAAAATAAAAATTCGAAAATCTAAAATTTGAAAATCGAAATCCTGAAAAACCGAGAAATGCAAAAATCAAAAATTAGAAAAATTCAAAAACAGACATCGATAAATCGAAAAATCAGAGAATCGAGAAATCGAAGAGTCGAAAGCCGAGAAAAAAAGTTTAAAATTGAAAAACTGATGAATCGAGAAATTGAACAATCGAAACATGATCATCTGAATTCGATAAATCGAAAAATTAAAAAAAAAACAAATTGAAAAGTTCCCAAAACTGATAATTGATAATGTTGAAAAAATTGAGAAATCGAAAAATTGAAAAAAAAGAAATATTGAACTGAAAAATCAAGAAATCCAAAAATCTAAAATTTAAAACATTGAAAAATTCAAATATCGAAACATCCGAATCTGGATAAATCGTGATTTCAAAAAACTGAAAATTTGATAATTTAAAAATAAAAAATCGAAAAATCCAGAAGTCGAAAGATCGAAAAGTAGAATAAACGAAATACTGAAAAATCCCACAACTGAAAGAAATATCCATAAAATGAGAAATGAAAAAACTGGAAAATTGAGAAATCGAAAAAGTCCAGTCAAATTAGCGATCAACCTCGGAATGAGAGGTAATAAGCTGAATTTTCGTATATACCTTCATTTTAGCGTTCTAAAAGTTGTCTCAAAAGTCTCATAAAATCTCGTGTCTGCGTCGTAAGTTATTCAAGGTCAAAGGTGAAGAAAAACAGTTTTTTGCGATTATCTCGGTTTTTATTGCTCCAATTATGTTAACATCTATTATCGTAATTGTAGAGCATAAAATTTGGGACAAATTTTATTTGAAACATTTTTTCATGCGCTCAATCGTTCTTGAGATAGAGGGCAGTGAGCGCGCAGCGCTCATCCATACGTACTGTAATGCAATCAACCGTGAATATCTGTGAATACTACCTTTAATTATGAATAATTTGTATTATTTATCAGTTAATACATTGCATTTAATAACATTTTACATATTTTCAATACATTCATTTAATGATAATGATATTTACCTACTTTGTGGAATTAAAAACTCTTTAAATGAAACACTTATTGTATGTATGTATATCTTAATTTATTGAAAGTAGATTTTAAGTAGAAAAATAACTAAGTACTTTATCTTTCAAATGTGTAACTTTTTATATATTAGATAATATATTAAACTTGTTATATTATTATATATCTAAAAGTTATATTAATTTTTTCAAAGTAAAAATTTAAGGAAGTAAAACGAGTTAATGTATTTTAATTTTATCTTTGTTCAGTACCTGTACATTTCTTACGATTGAAATTGAATTGCAGTGAAAATCTAGAAATCTTTAATAATTTAAAGAACAAAAGTATTAATTTTCTTCTTCTTCACCGTCATCTTCTGGACGTTCGGGAACTTCTGTTTCATCGTTATCATCCTCGGTGCCCTGAATCGTTGTTTCCAGACCTTCCAGTTATAATCATGATAGAAAAATAAGTATTTAAAACCTTACACATTTTAAAGATATATGTAAATAAATTGAGATATACAATAAATATTTCATTAAATGCGTTTTTAATTACACAAAGTAGGTAAGTATTATTCAGTGAATATGTTGAAAATATGTAAAATGTTTAAATACAATGTATTAATTGATAAATAACACAAATTTTTCAAAATTCAAGGTAGTATTAATAGATATTCACGGTTGATTGCATTACAGTACGTATGGATGAGCGCTGCGCGCTCACTGCCCTCTATCTCAAAAACGATTGAGCGCATGAAAAAATATGTCAAATAAAATTTGTCCCAAATTTTGTGCTCTACAATTATGATAATAGATGTTAATATCACTGGAGCAATAGAAACCGAGATAATTGCAAAAAACTATTTTTCTTCATCTTTGACCTTGAATAACTTACGACGCAGACACGAGATTTTATGAGACTTTTGACACAACTTTTAAAACGCCAAAATTAAGGTATATACAAAAATTCAGCTTATTATCTCTCATTCCGAGATTGATCTCTTTTTTATCCTAAAATGACTGGACTAAGTCGAAAAATCGAAGAACTGAAGAACTGAAAAATAGAAACTTGGAGAGGTCCAGAAATGGGAAAATCAAAAATAGATTAATTGAGAAATCGGAAAACTGAAAATTTAGCAACGTCAAAATTTGAAAAATTGAAAAATAGTAATATTGAAGAACTGAAAATCAAAAAATAACAATTCGAAAATCTAAAATTTGAAAATCGAAAACCTGAAAAACCGAGAAATGCAAAATTCGAAACATCGAAAAATTCAAAAACAGACATCGAGAAATCGAAAAATCAGAGAATCGAGAAATCGAAGAGTCGAAAGCCGAGAAAAAAAGTTTAAAATTGAAAAACTGATGAATCGAGAAATTGAACAATCGAAACATGATCATCTGAATTCGATAAATCGAAAAATTAAAAAAAAAACAGAAATTGAAAAGTTCCCAAAACTGATAATTGATAATGCTGAAAAAATTGAGAAATCGAAAAATTAAAAAAAAGAAATATTGAACTGAAAAATCGAAAAATCTAAAATTTAAAATATTGAAAAATTCAAATATCGAAACATTGTAAAATCGAGAAATCCAAACATGAAAAAATAAAAAAAATATTAATTGGAAAATCTAAAATTTAAAAATCGAGAAATTAAAACATCGAAAAATTGGAAAATCGAAAATTTAAAAAAAATGGAAAATCGAAAATTTAAAAATTCCGAAAATTGAACAGTTGAAATATAACATAACTGAAAACTCGAGAAATCGAAAAACCTAAAATTTTAAAAACTGAAAAGTTAAAATAAAATGGAGAAATCTAAACATCAAAAAAATAAAAATTCGAAAATCTAAAATTTGAAAATTGAAAAACTGAAAAATCAACAAATCGAGAAATCGAAAACTCGACAATTAAAACACTTGGAAAATTGAAAAATCGGAAAATTCAAAAATCGAAAAATCGAAAAGCAAAAAATCGAAAACCGAGAAATCCAAAAATCGAAACATCAAAAAATCAAATGAACGAGAAATCGAGGACCCGAAAAGTCGAAAAGTTAAAAATTGAAAAATTGATAAATCGAGAGATTGAACAATCAAAATATCAAAACATCCGAATCTGGATAAATCGTGATTTCAAAAAATTGAAAATTCGATAATTTAAAAATTCGGAAAATTGAAAAATTAAAATATGTATAGAAGAACAATGGAAAACTCGAGGAATCAAAAAATCTAGAATTTTAAAAATTGAAAAATTAAAATATCGAAAAGTTGAAAAGTTGAGAAATCGAATATAAAACAATCGAAAAATTGAAAAATGTTTAAAAAACGAAAAACTGAAAATCCAAAAAATAAAAAATCGAAAAATCCAGAAGTCGAAAGATCGAAAAGTCGAATAAACGAAATATTGAAAAATTCCAAAACTGAAAGAAATATCCAAAAATTGAGAAATGAAAAAACTGGAAAATTGAGAAATCGAAAAACCAAAAAAGCAAAGTCGAAAAATCGAAGAACTGAAGAACTGAAAAATAGAAACTTGGAGAAGTCCAGAAATGGGAAAATCAAAAATAGATTAATTGAGAAATCGGAAAACTGAAAATTTAGCAACGCCAAAATTTAAAAAAATTAAAAAATAGTAATATTGAAGAACTGAAAAATCAAAAAATAAAAATTCGAAAATCTAAAATTCGAAAACCTGAAAAACCGAGAAATGAAAAAATCGAAACATCGAAAAATTCAAAAACAGACATCGAGAAGTCGAAAAATCAGAGGATCCAGAAATCGAAGAGTCGAAAGCCGAGAAAAAAAGTTTAAAATTGAAAAACTGATGAATCGAGAAATTGAACAATCGAAACATGAAAACATCTGAACTCGATAAATCGAAAAATTAAAAAAAAAAACAGAAATTGAAAAGTTCCTAAAACTGATAATTGATCATGTTGAAAAAATTGAGAAATCGAAAAAATGAAAAAAAAGAAATATTGAACTGAAAAATCGATAAATCCAAAAATCTAAAATTTAAAACATTGAAAAATTCAAATATCGAAACATCCGAATCTGGATAAGTCGTGATTTCAAAAAATTGAAAATTCGATAATTTAAAAATAAAAAATCGAAAAATCCAGAAGCCGAAAGATCGAAAAGTCGAATAAACGAAGTACTGAAAAATCCCAAAACTGAAAGAAATATCCATAAATTGAGAAATGAAAAAACTGGAAAATTGAGAAATCGAAAAACCAAAAAAGCAAAGTCGAAAAATCGAAGAATTGGAGAACTGTAGAAACCTGGAGAAGTCGAGAAATGGGAAAATCAAAAATAGATTAATTGAGAAATCGGAAAACTGAAAATTTAGCAACGTCAAAATTTGAAAAATTGAAAAATAGTGATATTGAAGAACTGAAAAATCAAAAAGTAAAAATTCGAAAATCTAAAATTTAAAGATCGAAAACCTGAAAAACCGAGAAATGCAAAAATCGAAACATCGAAAAATTCAAAAACAGTCATCGAGGAATCGAAAAATCAGAGTATCGAGAAATCGAAGAGTCGAAAGCCGAGAAAAAAAGTTTAAAATTGAAAAACTGATGAATCGAGAAATTGAACAATGTAAACATGAAAACATCTAAATTCGATAAATCGAAAATTTAAAACTTCGGAAAATTGAAAAATAGAAAAGCTGAAAACTCGAAAAACCTAGAATTTTAAAAATTGAACAATTAAAACATGGAAAAATTAAGAAATCGAAGTATAAATTAGTCGAAAAATCGAAATATTGAAAAATTACAACTCTGGGGAGCATCAACGGATAACTCTTGACTAACGATTTAACATGCTTCCAATAACTAAATTGGAATGCTGATTTTCTCCAAAAATCTTGACGTCTAAGGTCCTACTTTAGATGCGAGGGAAGTTCTGTCGAAAAAACTTTCGACCAATTTTTGCATTTATGTTGATCTGTGTTTTCTGATAGATACAAATCATAATGTAATACGATTGTTTGACTATAGATAGCTGCCATACCATTGATTACCTTACTTGTACCATGGGTATATTAAAATGGTTTCCATTTTTATGTAAATATACTTTTATATCTCTTTAGGCCCTGAATATGTTATACAATTAAAACATTCGAGTCATTCGACTGTACACGACTTATTTGAACATTTAATACTCTTTCTATATTTACAATCTCGTTTAGGGTAAAATTCATTCAAGTTTGTTACATAGTTCTTGCGCTAAAGTTGTTTGTAAATCTCTCCCCATTCTTATATAACTATTTTATTTAGTGTAATATGTGTGTAAGTTAATCTTTGGAGTTAATTCAACAGTAACAGCTCTTGGAGAACATAACCTATCTTTATTACTTTTTTTGCGTTATACTTTTCTTGGTTCTTAAGCCTTTTTTTTTGGTTACATACTAGAACTTTATTGTTACAATTAAACTGAACAGTACCCCACTTCAAGCAGAATAGTCCATATTCTCTTCATTTTGTAAAAAAAAAAGTACACAAGCGGTATGGGAAAGTAACTGCACCAATAAGAAATTCTCATTCCAATTGAAATTATATTAATCCACATACAACTAACATCATATAGAGACCACGATCTTACCGTAACGGTTAATACTTTCCAATAATTTTAACCTAGCGAAAGAGAAAGAACATTTATTATCCTACACTCTAATAGCAAATAATCAAGAGGAACTTAACACCTAGTGCCTAAAATACAAGTTTACGTAAAAAGTAATCATAATACAACATTCTGTTTGGCCACCCAGGACAAATGTATTACCACAACATAAAAAAAAATTCACTGACATTTATAACTACAATATTATGTACTACCAAAAGAGTATATTTTTTAGAGGGTAATTTCGTATCCTAATTTTTATGTAACTAAACATGTAGTGGATGATTTAATTCACATAATACATGCACAGTGAAGACAAAATAACATGAAATAAATCATGTCAACTGAAAATACCATATTTTGCCATTATGATGAAGGGAAGCAACATCGATGGAATTGCTAACACGTAATTCAATTACGTAGCATAACGTTGGGTCCAAAGTCGGGCGATGCGATCGTGCTCTTCGCGGGTCTGAAGATAACTCTGGGCTATACTTCCCATTATCGCATCATCTGGTTTGCAATCGGCTAACAAAGAGTATATGGCTAACAGAACTTTGGAAATGGTGAAGGCGGGCGACCAATTTTTATGCTTCAACATATCCACACAAACCGAGCCCTGCAGGTTTATATTGCAATGGTAGATCCTTGTCGTGAACGTGACTTCCGGCGGTCTGAACGGGTACTCTGGCGGGAAGTTTATGTGCATGTTATACACGCCGCCTTCATAGAGCGATCCCGGCGGAGCCTTAATCTTGGCGCTCCACTCATACAAGTTGTCCCCCCTCAGTGCGGCACTGCAGTTTGGAGGTGGGTCCAGTGTGATTTCCTCGAGCTCTTTCTGAATCCTCTTCGCCGCCGTGTCCACCCCCTGCAAGGTCTGCGTGGTCGACGTCGACTCCTTCGCCTCTTTCTGATCTTCGACAGCCGCTTGATCGCCACTGTCGGGGCCCAATTCAGTAGCTTCTGCTGAAGACATCGTGTTGCTGAATTTTTTGCACCAAAAACTTAATACAATTCACTTCCTTTTCACTAATGTCGCCTCCTGGGGTACGAGATGAGTAGACAGGGTTCCCTTGCCACCTTACTACCAGAGAAACGTGAAAGCAGTCGAGCTAAACAAAGCAAAAATTTACGGTTTTTTACCAAATCGTGCGTCGATAAAAGCCAACCGGCGCTGGTTTTTTCGGCACAAAAAACTGTCTTCTGCTAGATTTAAAATCTTATACCTCTACAACGACCTTTACAAGTGTTGATTTCTCTACAAGAAGCCATTTTGTTTATATTTATTTCTTGGTTTGAAGTTATATTACCAAGCTTGTTGCTTAATCCTGTATGAATAAGATGCCACAGCTCATCTGACACAATTCCACTTCCATTAAATCACCTTGTATGAAATTTGTTGTATTTTTAACAATTCTAATTTCACCCCACCTTCCGTATTGACAGCAGAAACGAAATAACTAGCATGCACGCATGCGCATTTTATTCTCAGTTGTATTCTTAAAGCGTTGCATAGAAAGCGTTCTAAGGATCGTGGTAAGGATAACCCATCTCAAGAATTTGACGCCAAACAACCGCTACTGGCGCCAAATTCAAATTTATTACAATTTTTAATTTCTCCGTTTGTTTCAAACCACCCGCCAATTATTATCCGTTCATGATTTTGATATAGTAGGATTGGCCATGAAAATCTAGTGAGTTTGTTGGTATTCGATGCAGAAGAGTAAAAATTCCCTGAACTTCTTTCGTTAGGTTATGTTTTATTAAATTAATGGTTATAAAATATGCCACAAATATAAACATTGTTGCCGATACTTTCAGTTTTCAGTAGCAATGAGCAAGTTAACTGTACCCATTTCTTAGAAAGCATAAAACTTTACGCTATCTAAAACAGTTATTCGGCTTTTAGTAAGTGTAAACATTGTTTTTATATGAATGGGGGTTCTACATACGACTATTGTCGCATGCCACATTTAGCATCTCATCTTTAATTCTCAATCATCAGTTCGTTCTGCTCGTCCACTCTTAGAAATGGAAATTTCAACCTTTGTGAACAGCCTATTTCCATATCTTCCAACTTCTTTTTTCACTTTTCTAAGATTACTAAAAGGGTTGATAAAAGACAACAACCTTGCTCTAGTGCTTTGATAGTGCTTGTAGCTCTTCTGAAACATTTTTCCGGCCTTAAATTGAATGATTTATCTATATAGCTATTACTAATGCTTACGTAAGTGCCCTTTATTTGCTTTTACTGTACTTCCAAACGCTTATTAATAAGAACATTACTATACGCCTTCTCCAGTCCATGAAGAGTTACAACAAAAAATGAAAATGCTTAAAATTTGGTGCAAAGTAACAACATGGATGATCTAACTAAAATTATACTTATTTTGTTGTACGTCAGGTAGTTTTTCACATACTATACCTTGGTAAATTTAGAATGAAAGATGCGTAAAAATATCACCCCCCGACAAGCTACAATTCACTCCATTTCCATTATTTCGTTATGAAAATCTGTATCATCACCGTTATTTTCAAATTTAGATTCTGAATCAGATTCACCTAGCGAAATAATGAAAGGAGGTATAGATTCGTACGAAAGATTTCCCATATTTTTTTCCCAGTCTGTCAAAATAAGTTTTTCACAATGTTTACAAAAATTTTGCCACATGCTTGGAGTACATTTAGAAAGCGCCTGAAGCCATAAATTCTCCACCCTATTTTTTAATGAAGGTTGAGAATTTATATGCTTGTTGTAATAGTTCTTACAAAATCCCCACGCCATTTCAATTGGATTATATTGACAATGGTACGGAGGTAATCTAAGAAATTCATGGCCACTTTCTCTTAATATCTCGTCTACCAAATATTTTTTTTTTCTATTGTTTCTGAAGGGTTTCATTAAATCCCACAACTGTTTCTTCGAAATTTTTTTGTCAAATTCAATACTATGTTTAAAGAGCCATTCCTGCATTTCACATTTTTTACTAGAAAAAATGGGTGGTTTATCCAACTGAACCGAATGATAGGTGCATTGTCTAAAACCACCACACATTTTTGATTCAATTTTGCCAAAGCAGGAATGAGCTGATTAACCACCCAATTTTGAAAAAAAAAGTCCCGTCCATCGTTTTATGATAGTCTTTATCGTTATTTTTTGAATTTAAAAAATTGTTACAACCATCCAAGAACCCCGTTGAACAACCCGCGTGGAGAATAGTAAACCTTGATCCTTCACGTTTAATTTTGGTGGGATTGCTTTTTAGATCAGTATCGTGCACCCAGCGACCAATGGACGAACCATTTTGATAGATCCATGTTTCATTTAAATGAATTGCTAACTGCAGAAAGGGGATATATCACATTTTTCAAAATGTCGAGGAAATGAATAAAACGTCTCAGATTTTTACAACTACTTGTTTCCGATCCCCGTTTTCAATTGTCGGTTCTCTATGTTCTCAGTTATCAACGAGTGTTGGTTAAATGCATGGTTTTTTTTTTGGGTCAATTTGGCTGTCAAATTTGACACTTGGACATATCCCCTTTTTGCAGTAAAATGAAAAAAAAGGTAAAAAAAAACACAAAAAACAGCTTTATTTCAGTTATAATTTTACACAAACATGTTATATGTATATCTGACTAAAAAACTTAATCATTATCGCGCTCCTGTTCTACAGTTGGCCAAGTAGCAATCTCCTGCCAAAATGCGTTATAAGCGTCTGGGATAAATCGTAAAGTGTTTGTTATATCCGTCATTTTCTTCTGGCTGATGGCTAGTTATTATACTAATTTTGCACTTAATACACGTAGTCATCTTCTCACAACAAAAATTTAAAACATGTTTAAAACGGTAAATTTTTGTAGGAACTACGAATTTTGCAATTATGCTCCGCCCCCCAGTCTGACAACAAATGAAAATTTCACCACTATTGAGTTCGCGGCAGGTGTGGGTGGGGCCTAGTTTAATGATGAATTTTTCATTCATTTCCAGGCCGAAGAGTGAAGCGTCACTGAAAAATCTATATTTCCCTACAAAAATTTACCATTTCAAACATGTTTTAAATTTTTGTTGTGAAAAGATGGCTGCGGAGATTAAGAAAAATTGGCAAAATATAAGCCCCGCCCACCCACCCTATCTCAATTGTGATGATTTTTTTTATTCGTCGTGAGCCAAGGGCGTAGCTTAATTGCAAAATTCTTATTTCTTTACAAGAAATTACTATGCAAGACATGTTTTTGAGCGTCGTGTTGGATAAGAATAATAATTAAAAAAATTAGAATTTTGCAGTTAAGCTCCGCCCTCTTGGCTCACGACGAATATAAAAATCATCACAATCGAGATAGGGTGGGTGGGCGGGGCTTATACTAATTTTGCACTTGATATACGTAGTCATCTTCTCACAGCAAAAATTTAAAACATGTTTAAAATGGTAAATTTTTGTAGGGAACTACAAATTTTGCAATTATGCTCCGCCCCCCAGTCTGGCAACGAATGAAAATTTCTCCACTATTGAGTTCGCGGCCGGTGTGGGTGGGGCTTAGTTTAATGATGAATTTTTCATTCGTTTCCAGGCCGAGGAGTGAAGCATCACTGAAAAATCTATATTTCCCTACAAAAATTTACCATTTTAAACATGTTTTAAATTTTTGTTGTGAAAAGATGACTGCGGAGATTAAGAAAAAAGGGCAAAATATAAGCCCCCGCCCACCCACCCTATCTCAATTGTGATGATTTTTTTATTCGTCGTGAGCCAAAAGGGCGTAGCTTAATTGCAAAATTCTTACTTCTCTACAAGAAATTACCATGTAAGACATGTTTTTGAGTGTCGTGTTGGATAAGAATAACGCAAGACGTTGAGACCACGGTGTTTACTGCAGAAAGTCGATATCTCCTGGACATATCCCTTTTCTGCTGTAACCGTAAATTTCATCCGCTTGTAGCCCCGAGCTAAATCATTAAACATGGCCCGTTTTTGCAGTAAAGATGTGTTTAGACCTCTAGAACACGATTATGTACGAATGTTATTGTGGTAAAAAATGGGACATGTCCCCTTTCTGCAGTTAGCAATTCAAATACACGAAAGTCAAATTTTCACAAGAATTTAGAAACTGTAAATATGTACTCAAAAAAGTAATTTTGGCTGCAACGACATGTTTTTGTTCACATAGAATTTGGAACCATTTACTTCCCTGTGTTTATAACCCATTGACTGAATTTTGTATGATGTGGTTCGCCCCCCTTTAAATTCCAACTGTTCCCTAGAATATGCCAAAAGAGTATCTACAGTGAAATATTCGTTTTTTTCATTAAGTTGCCGAATTTTTCGTTGCAGGTCTTTCCGAAACATATAATTTGTAAATAAATCCGTTGGTTTTCGTTTGCCAGATAGTGATGTTTTTAAATTTTGGTCCCCTGTTGATAAAATTTTCTCCACAGTTGATGTTCCCACCTATGAGAAAAAAAAAATAAAAAAATATTTTACAGCATATTTTTACATTACAGAAAATACTACTGACAGACAAAAAACTAAATCATCAAATCAGGGTATCCAACTTAAAGAAAAAACATCAAAGCCTACTTTACTACAAAAAGATCGTGAATGGATAATAGTTTAAGTTTTAAGTCTCTGGAAATCTAGAATAATTTAATTCCCCTATGCTTTCGCGCGTTTTTGTATTTTGCTCACAAAATAAGTAGTAATCCAAGATTTATTTTAAAGAGATATGAAACTCTTGTCGTTGTTCTTGTGCCCGACATATAGTGAAAATATTATTTATTTGTTCGTAGGTTGGTTCGTAATGATGATAACACTAACACATTCTATTATACTGAGTGGACAAGGGGAATACTTCAAGTATATGCATTTTACTTAAAAGAATAACTGTATTTAATTTGGAAATGACTATTTACTATTTAGTTTACGAGAGAATAATTTGGTCTAACAATTGTAGTGTACATAGTTTAAATATGAATATACCGGGTGTCTGGAAAATGACGGATTAACTCTGCTATGCTTTTAACAATCAACTGGTGAGTCTGGGAAAAATAGTAAAAAAATTTCTTCTCACATTTTAATGGAGTTACAATGATTTTAAAATTGGTTTAACAACTAAACAACACATTATCATTATATAACACAATAACTATTAATAGAATTTTTAGTTAATATTTCTCTCGCCCATGACCATGTTTAGTTACCATTCCAGTTAGAATGTACAGTTTTAATCAAAAAATATTGGGCAGTTGTTATTTACTAATGTCATAACTTGTAAAATGTGCTTTATTTAGATAACCTTAATTCACTGACAGTAGTGTCATATCTGTCGGATACACCGGATATTAATAATATCAAAGGCATCGTTTGACAAAATAGATTTTTGAAAAGTGTCAAAATGACAGTAAAGCTTAAATCACATATGATTTGTCATAAATGATAGAATGAAAGGGCCTAATATTTTTTGAATAAAATAGTGCAAAGATACGG